AAACGGAGCCGAGTCAACGGCGCGGGGGGCGCGCGTGCGGGGAGGGGGGGCGTGCGCGCCGCGCTTGTGCGCGTGGGTGGGAGCCTGTGCCCCACCAGGGGTGGTCGCCTCCTTCCCCTCAGCAGGGGTTGGGCTCACGCCGGTCTGACCGCTGGTGTTTGCCTCAAAGGTACTTTTTTTTTTTTGAAGCGTTGGATCTTTCTGGTTTTTTGGGGGGTTTTTTGTTTTTTTTTTCCTGTTTGGTGGTTTTTCTGGTTTGGGGGTTTTTCGTGGTTGGTTTGTTTGTTTGTTTTTTGTTTTTTGTTTTTTTTTCTCCCCAGAAAAACGTTCTTCGTTGACCAGACCGCTTGTTTTTTTTATACCCTAAGCACTGTGCGGATTCCTGGAAGCTCCTCAGCTGCGTGTGCTTTCCCACCTTGGGTGGGGAAACCTCCCCAACGCAGCGGGGGACCGCGGGGTCCCCGTCCGCCGCCAGCTCCCGCGCGTGGGAAGCAGCGTGGGGAGCGGGCAGCTGGCCAGCCCGGCTCGCAGCGGCCTGCGAGGGCCACGCTCCTCACGTGGCGCGGCCTGGTGCGAGAGACGTCGCCCAAGAGACTGGGGATGCGATTCTCCCTCTTAAGCTGTTTACGCCGGCGTGCGTGGTAGCACCCGCTGTAATTACTGCAGCACTGAGGGATGCCGCCCAACCCTCCCTGCTAATAATTGTTTTTATTCTCCTTTCTGCTGGAGTTGTTTCTCTTTCCAAATTGCCTCAGCCAGTCATCTGATAGTTCTGGGCTGGCCGTAGGCAGGTTGGGTGCAAATCTAGAATCTGATCTCCCATGGAAACCCTTGGTGGGTACATCCAGCCACCCCACCAACTCTCTCCCCCATACCCAGGAGCAACTGAGGGTTGCCATCTTTGCAGCCTTCCCCCACATAAACATACTTTTCCCTTCCTATTTCTCATTTTACTTGGATTGGGATGTTTTAGTATTTGCCCTGTTGTCTCTAGGCATTCATTAATATTATTTTTATCATTAAACTTATTTATTTAATGGCTCTGTTCAAATATGTAGTAGAAGGCTTCATTGGTTTCCACGGTGATTAATGTGGGAAAAGCCTTTTTGGAAGTAAGGCATGCCAGTCTAGGTAGGTGGGTACAGCAAATGAATTTGGGAACATGCACGTACTCAAAAAGTATAAGGAATATGTTCGTGTTTGCTCACCATTTGAGGACAAGTACTGTCATCTATCCTAAACACGCAATAATTTTAAAAAGATTTGTAGCTACTCATCGTCTTTACTGCCTGCCTACTAAGTTCCTTCTTGGTTTCCAAATGTTCACGGATCTGTGACAGGGTTTATTTTCTTTATTTAAAATGAGCTTTTTTTCTCTTACATGACAACTTGAAAAGTCCGTCCTTTTCCTCCCTGCCAAGGCTGCTTTGCTTAGTCTCACTCCCCTATCTTAGCTGTACTTCAGAACCTTTAGAGCACACAGGTGTTGTAGCAGATCTGACACCTGTTTACTCTGAGGCTTTCCTTGGTTACAGCACGCTGCCTGCCTTGGACACCAAGGAAGTCCTAGGCGGCATGAGCTTTGAATCCAGCGGTCTGACCTGCTGCAGTATCACGTTAGGACATTAGTGCGTAATGCTAGAGGAGAGTGAGGGATAAGTTTTGTTAAGTCTTATTCAGACATCTTTAAGATCTTTATAAAAGGTTATTGAAAGGAGGAGGTAGGAATTCATAGGCTAACGCTGTATAATAAATACGATAATATTTCTTTCTGAATCTATGAACATCTTTTAATAACTCATCTAATGCTAAGAACAACACCAGCAAGCCTGCAAATAAGTACGCATGAAAAACAAGTATCAGATCTCATTCTGATTCTGTGCTAGTCTGTTTTTCCACCTTACTCAAATATTTGTCAAGACTTGTAGAAGTATACGTCCGTTAATCTTGGCAAAACATACATAGTTAATTGAGCTCTAGTCACAGACTCAATCTGTTGTAAAAACCATCCCTGATCTTTTTGTTTGTTTGGGTTTTTGGGTTTTTTTGACATCAGAAATTAAATCCATCCTGTCATTAGAACTAAAAAGTGTAGGACTTCCGAAAAGTTCTAATAGAATTAAGGAAAACTATACTATCTAGTCACACTCTCTTTTCTCTGAGAGTCAAGTATTTGTACTCTGGTCTATAGGCTGC